ACACGAAAATAGCAAGTGGCCAGGATATGGAGAAATCGGAACCTTCATACAGTGCTGGTGGGCTTGTAAAACAGTGCAGCTGTTTTGGAAAACAGTCTGACAGTTCCTCAAATGAATAAACATAGAGCCACCACATGACCCCACAATTCCATTCCTAGGTATGTATCCAAGTGAAATGGAAATATCCCTACAGAAACCTGTATACAGATGTTCATAGCAGCATTATTCATAATCGCTACAAGGTAGCAACACCCCAAATGTCCATCAAAGTGAGAATGACTAAACAAATGTGGTGTATTCCGACACCAGAACGTTATTCAGCCATAAAAGGAATGAAGTACTGATACGTGCTAAAATGGTGATGAACCGTGAAAATACTATGCTAAGTGAAAGAAGCTAATCACAAAAGACCACTTACTGTATGATCCAAATCATATGAAAGTCCAGAATCGGAAAATCTGTAGAGACAGAGAGTAGATAAGTGATTGTCAAGGGTTGGGGAGAAAGGTGTGGGATGAGGATCATGATAGCTCAAGGGTACAGGATTTCCTTTTGAGGTGAGAAAATGTTCTAAAATTGACTGTGGTGACAGTTGTACTTATCTGTGAATATACTGAAAACCACCAAGTCATACACTTTAAATAGGTGAATTGTATTGTGTGCAAATTATATTTTAATAAAGCTGTTCAAAAAAATTTATGTGAGTCCACTCCTAGATATATAACTAAGATAACAGAAAATATACATCTACATAAAAACTTGTACATGAATATTCTTAAAGGCGTTATTCATAATAGCCAAAAAATAGTAGCAACCCAGATGTCCACCAACTAGTGAATGGATAAGCAAAATGTGGTATATCCATACAATAGAATATTATTAAGCCATTAAAAAGGAATCAAGTACTGATACATGCTGTAATATAAACCCTAAAAAGATGAAGCTAAGTGAAAGAAGTTAGTCACAAAAAACCGTATATTTTATTATTTCATTTATAAGAGATGTCCAGAATGGGCAAATTATACAGTCAGAGAGTAGATTAGTGGTTGTCAGGGGCTAGGGAGATGTGGAAATGAGAGGTGACTATTAATGGCATAGAGGAGGGGTCTACCCCATGACCAGCAACATGCCAGGTGAGGAGAGGTCAGGGGAGGGTCCAGATTGCATGACGAGCAATATGAAAGGTCAGGGGTATTAAACCACATGACCAAAAAATAGTTGGTGGGTAGCAGAGCCAGAATTTGCCCCTAGGCGTCTGATTCCAGAGCCTATACCCCAATACTGCTGCTCCCAGACAGACTGCTCATCCTTCTGCTTAAATTTTGAGGCAAATGATGTACTAATATGTCATCTGGGCCCAGTTTCAGAAAAACCACTCTAGTGTTTTAATTTGTTTACTAAAGGGAATTGAGTGCTTACAAAATCATTGGGAGGGCTGGAAGGAGTGGGCTCGAGGCTGGGCCTTCAGAAATTATTCCCAGATCCAGACTGCCAAACAGGCCTTCCGGGGGGGGAACCACCACTGGCGCTGCAGAGTTCCAGATGGCATTGCTTGCTGCAATTCGAGTGTCAAGAAATTGCTATCCTGAAACTGCCTCTCAGCATCCACCAACTAGTGACTGCTGTCTCCACCAAACTTGTCTCTTGACAGCCATGAAGCTCTGGACACTGGCGTGCTGATGCCCAGGAACCCTATGTTTCCACAAACGTCTTTGCCAGCATTAACAGCCAAAACAGCAGAAAGATAGTTCCCCCTCATTTCTGCCTTCCAAATCTCAGAGCAGAGCCTTTGAGAGATGGACCCTATTTCACATGGGGAAACTTAACTTAAAGAGGTTTGGAATTGTATTTTTTAATTTTCCAGAAAGGAGTTAGGAAGGATACTGAGGGTTAATGCACAAATCTATTCTAATATCTGCTAGGGTAGAACTTGGTGGTTGTCCCTAAAAATGACATTTTGTTAGAGGGTAAAAACTGTTTAGGGTATAAACTAAGTTCAGAAATCAGTTCTCCTTAAAAGCCACAGAATTAACTTTTGCTTGTCATTATAAAGACCCAGTGCACTGGGCAGTTTCTACTAGTTAGTGTGCTCTTAAGTAGCACTGTAGAAATAGTGAAGCTAAAGTGATCAGAGTATGTACCCTTTGCTTAGTGCTGCCCTGGCTCAGTGGGGCTAGGAGATAGATGAGTTTTTTTGTTTTTTTAAAAAATATATCCTTATTGATTTCAGAGAGAGGAAAGGAGAGGGGGAGAGAGAGAGAGAAACATCAATGATGAGTCATTGATCAGCTGCAGCCCACAACCTGGGCATGCGCCCTGACTAGGAATCGAACCCTGATCGCCTGGATCCTAGGTCGATGCTTAACCGCTGACCACACCCGGCCGGGCTAGATGAGTTTTTAGTTTACCAGCACTAAGTGAGTAGACCAACAAGGAGTTGTCCTGAAAACTTATTAATTTGTTCCCCCAACTACAAAATCCTAGTTTATACCTCAATTTGATCCTGCCGTTTTAATGATGGGTGTTTCTTAAAATCCTTTTCATAGCCAATTCTCTTCCTTACTATACTTTAAATGTGCCACTTAAAAAGTGTCGATAACCCACTGTCAGAGGTGTGCTGTTTCCCACCTCTATCCCCTTTTCTGTCAGCTTACTTTTGTCCCTTTATTTAGATTTCTTTTGATTTCTCCCATTCTTTCCAGCTATAGAGACTGTGGGACTTTAAAAAAAATAACCTTTGCCAGTCATAAAAAGGAATCACATTGCATTTTATGGAATACTCAGATCATCTTGTTTATTTTCTCTATTGGTTGGTGCTCAAAAATTTTTTTAAATTTTTATTGAATTTATTTGGGTGACATTGGTTAATAAAGTTATATAGGTTTCAGGTGTACAGTGCTATAATACATCATCTGTGCATTGTATTGTGTGTTCACCACCCCAAGTCAAGTCTCCTTCCATCACCATTTATCCCCCCTTTACCCTCTTCTACCTCCCCCGCCCCCTTTCCCTCTGGTAATCACCATACTGCTGTCTGTGTCTGAGAGGCTTTTTTTCTTTGCTTAATCCCCTCACCTTTGTTACCTAGCCCCCTAAACCCCCTCCCCTCTGACAGCTGTCAGTCTGTATCTATGACTCTGTTTCTCTTTTGTTTGTTAGTTTATTTTGTTCATTGGATTCCACATAAGTGAAATTGTATGGTACTTGTCTTTCTTGGACGGGCTTATTTCACTTAGCCTAATACTCTCCAGGTCCATCCATGCTGTCACAAAAGGTAAGATATCCTTTTTTATGGCTGAGTAGTATTCCTTTGTGTAAATGTACCACAGTTTTTTAATCTGCTTATCTACTGATGGGCACTTGGGCTGCTTCCAAATCTTGGCTATTGTAAATAACATTGCAGTGAACATAGGGGTGCATGTATTCTTTCGAATCAGTGTTTCATATTTCTTCAGATATATTCCCAGAAGTGGAATTGCTGGGTCATAAGGCAGTTCCATTTTTAATTTTTTGAGGTAATTCCATACTGTTTTTCATAGTAACCACACCGGCCTGCAGTCCCACCAGCAGTGCAGAAGGCTCCCTTTTCTTCACACCCTCGTCAGCACTTGTTGTTTGTTGATTTATTGATGATAACCATTCTGAAAGGTTGATATCTCATTGTGGTTTTAATTTGTATTTCTCTGGTAATTAGTCACATTGAGCATTTTTTCATATGTCTGTTGGCCATCTGTATGTTCTCTTTGGAGAAGTGTCTCTTCAGGTCCTTTTCCCATTTTTTAGTTGAATTGTTTTTTTGGTGTTGAGTTTCATAAGTTTTTTATAAATTTTGGATATTAACCCCTTATCAGATGTATCATTGGCAAATATGTTTTCTCATTCAGGGGTTGTCTTTTCATTTTGTTGATGGTTTCCTTTGCTGGGCAAAAACTTTTTAGTTTGTATCAAACATTTTTTTTGTAAATCTCTAGGTCAGCAGTGTTTTGAATGGTTTAAGTTGCCAGAATTCAGACCTCCTCATAAGTGGGTACCTGATGCATATGTTTTCTTCTTTATACTTGCTTACATATTCTAAATGTTCTTTAAGTATATTATACTTTTATAATCACAAAAAATACATGTTATTTAAACAATGATTCTATTAATTTAGTCATAATTATTTTGGTGGGAATTCTTAGCTTGATTGGTTTAAAAAGCATCAAATTCATTTTCCCACTGCCTATGGACATAAAGCCTTAACACTCTTTACATTAACAAAATTCATGGTCAATGAAGAAAATAGTGGGATAGATTTTGTTGTTGGTGGTGGTAATTTAAAAGGTTTGGAATATAGTAGAAACTGAAACTTTTTTATAGCAAGAGTTGTTGCAGCTGCTGTTACAAATTGTGGTATACTCTGGTACAACCCAGCAAATCAGATAAGAGTTATAAAAGATCTGGGTGACTGCAGTGGGGCTTTCTGAATATAGGTAGTAGTATTCTTTCCCCTATTTCTCTCTTAATACAGTTTTTAAGTAATGCTGACTTTTTCAAGTTGAATCTTGAATGCTATTCTTGCAAATCCTGTGGATGCCACTTGCAGAAAAAGGGTAATAGGACATATATTGCCGTCTTGGTATCTCATCTGCTGGCCTGCCTTAGACTAGCTATTGTCTTAAGAAGTTTATTTTATTGTCAAAGTTAAAAAGTATGTTTTCTTCAATTTGCCATAATACATTTTAATATTGGAGATCTCTTCTTGCAGATTTCAATATTAAGGTTCAGGAAATAATAGATAGATAGATAGATAGATAGATAGATAGATAGATAGATAGATAGATAGATAGACAGATAAATTTTCACTCAATAATCTGTGCCAGATTACCTGTTTTTACATGCTAAAAAATGATACCTGGTAAATGCTTCCGTATCACTTATTTAAATAAATATTATGTACCTTAGCTGATGTTTATGTCTCGTATTACAAAAATACATTATAAATAATTATTTTCTCTCTACAGGACAATCCTTCATACCCACTGTGTTTGCCTTGGAATCTTCCCTTTTTGTATTGCATTCAGTTGACTTAGCCAGGTTTCAAGAGCAGCATTTATAAATTTCCAGGTATGAAAAATTTAAATTCTTGATATTATATTTAAATACATAGGTAAAAAGTATAACTTTGCAGTTGTAGATTTTACCCATCAGAGAATGGGTTTATTGCTTGAAAATTCACTGTATAAAACATTCAACATTCGGATCTTCTTGGCCAGGTCTCCCTGTTTGTCTTTTGCTAAATTTTTAATTCATTGCCTCTGTTGTGTCTTCCATTCCACCTTAATCAAAGACTCATATTACTTAGAACTGGAAATTATCTAGACCAATCCCCTCAGTTTGCAGAGAAAGAAATTAAGCCTAGAAAGGTAAAGTTACTTATCCATGGACATATAGCTAATCCAGTAATACAACTACTGTCAGCTCTCTGATCGCCCAGCACCCCCTTCCCACCTCCCCTACCTCAGTGGCGAAGGAGTATAGCTCAGTAGTTACAGGCTGTAGCTTTGGAGTCACTGTCTAAGTTAATACCCTTTTCTGTAAAATGCGGATAATAATACCACCCACCCAAGAAGTTGTGTGTGGGGATTAAAGGACACAATGCATATTGCTGCAATTATTATTGCCTGTGGCCCTCTCATTTCTCACCGTATTGATCCCTTCATTGCTTCTTGAAGCTCCCCACCCTTGGCCAACATGTTACAGTGTTCTCCTGATTCTCCCTGCAGTGCTATCTATAACACTGACTCTCTTCCCCATCCTGCTCCACAGTCACAGGCAATCCTCCAGGTTCTCATCTCAGCCGGTGTTTCCTCTGAGCCCCTTCATCTCTATTTGCAAGTAACGCCCGACATCTGTGTCTTCAGGTCTCACTTACCCACCCGCTGAACTTCAGATCAGCATTTTCAGTGGCCCTCTGGCCATCTTTACCTGATTTCCCATTCTCAAACACAGTGTAGTTAAAACCAAGGTCATTGCTGCTAAACCAGTTTTTCCTCCTGACTTTATAATTTCTGTTACTGATATTACTAAACACTTAGGCTCTAGAAATCACTGTATCTCTCTAGCCTTCCACAGCCAGTCATCAGTTAAGACCCATGGATTTATTTCCCATGCAAGTCTTTTGCATCTTCTTCCTTTCCATTCCCGCCACCATCACCAGGTTCAGACCATGAACCAGACTGACAGTTGCAATAGAGTAGCTGTTTTGTAACCTGGAGGTAGCTTGGTTGGTATTTTCTTTCTCTGTCTCTCTTTCCCAAGAAATCCAACCTCTTGACTTTTTTTTTTTTTGAGAATTTTTATGAGTTTATTTGAGCCAAACAGATGATATATGCTAGGGAGCAAGATCTCGGATACTCCCTAACCTCTTGACTTTTCACAGTGGAATGTCAATTTGTCACTTGTTTGTGTAGCACATGAATCTATTTAACTAAAGACAGAGTATCATCATATCTTAATCTTCAGTTACAGCCTAGATCTGACTAAATGTGAGACTGATTGTTAATATTTTGCCCACTTGTTTTACAAACTTTAGAAAAATTTTACTTTTGAATATATTAAAATGATTCAAAACTGAAAAAATACTTAAAAGTATACAGTGTAAAGTTCATCACCCATTCTTGTCTCCTGTCTCCCAGATGCCACCTCACCTCCAATTGGCAACCACTTTTTTGTTATCCTTCCAGAGTTTCTGTTTATTTCTTTGTTTATGGATATATATATATATATATATATATATATATATCCATTCTTACCTTTTTAAAAACGTAACTATATATCATAGTCATCTTTCCATATAATTATCTCCTATGGATGGACATTTTTCTAATATTTTGCTGTCACAAACAGAGCCACAGTAACTAATCATGTACATGTATCATTTGATCATGTACCAGTGTGTCTGCAGAGTAAATTCCCAGAAGTGACATGGGTTGGTTATAGAATATATGCATTCATAATGTTGAGAGCTATTTCCAAATTGCCCTCCATGCAGTCATACCAATTTATATTCTCACCACCAACGACTGAGAGTGCTTGCTTTCTCAGTTTTACCAATATTATCAAATTTTTGGATTTTTGCTAACTTGAGAGGGGGAAAATGATACTTCGGTGTGGCTTTAATTTGCATTTATATTTTTATGGCCCAGGTTGAACATCCTTTTGTATGATAAGGGACATTTGAATTTTTTTTTCTTTGTGCTCTCCTTTGTCCTATTTTGTCTTAGGTTATTGTTCTTTTTCTTGCCAATTTCTTAGAAGGTTGGTGTTTTAATGGAGATTATTTCTTTGATAGAAGTTTTTGCCATTTTGTCATTTTTTGGCCTTTGCTTGTGCGTTGTTGTTTTTTTCCCATACAGAATTTTGTTTTATTGTTATATAATGAAATGTATTAATCTTTTATTTTATGGCTTCTTTTGTATTTTGAGTCATGGTTATAAAGGCCTTTTCCACTCTGAAAGTCTTCTTTATTTTCTCTTAGAACTTGTGTAGCTTTAATGTGCTCTCCCTCCCGGGAGCATGTCTGTGTCTTTCTTCCCTCTCAGGGATGCATCTCCTATGCTCTAAGGGGCCCCAGCAGACTTGCAACCAGGGGAGCAATGGGCAGCAGCAGCAGCTCGTCCCTGGCTAACCCCCTGAACCCGTCTCCAAGGCCCCTTTTCTCTGACTATGCAGTGAGCTGATAGCAGACCTGCCTTGGTTAACTTCTGTCACTGTGACTTTTATTTCTCAGTGAGCCAAAGCAGCCCCGCCTAGGCTCATTTCTTTCCTCTAACATTTCTAGAGAGCCAAAGCAACCCCGCCTAGTCTCTCTCCTGTTGTTTCTTCTCTCCTAAGCCCTTCCTCATTTCACTCTCCCCAACTTTAATAAACATAGTCTTTGATCCATATGGAATTTATCCTGGTATAAGGTGGGAGGTATAAATCCAGCTTTTTCTGGAAGGCTAAAAATTGTCACAATGCCATTTATTCTATTAAATTCTGGAAGGCTAAAAAAATTGTCACAATGCCATTTATTCTATTAAGTTGTTTTTCTTTTCACCACAAGTTCATCAAAGATTAAATTTGCACATTTATTGGGGTATATTTCTGGATTTTCTCATATATTCCACTGGTCTGTCTTTTTGTCATGAGCAATATAGTTTTAATTATTGGTGAAATATAATATAATCAAATATTTGTTGGTGCTTTTCTCTTGGTTCTTTTTCAGAATTTAAGTAGCTCTTCTTGTTTATTTTTTCATAAAACTTTAGCAACTTGTGTTGATCTTAAAATGACTTGCTGGTATTTTTATTATGATCTGGTTATTGCCACCCCTATGGGTCAGGGACCGCAAAATAAGGTCCTTTTGCCAAGTGTCACTCACACCAACAAAACAAAGCTATCTTCAGTAAAGCAAAGCAGAAAGTTTATTCCTTGACCAAGGAATGGAGATGCTTTAAAGATATCTTCTCCCCAATTTGAGGAAATTAGGAGAGTCTTAAAGGACTGGTGGGGGTAGGTGGCTTCAAGGGTGAGGATCCCCAAGGGAAGGATGGAGAGTTCTCTGAATTGTGGGGAGCATGCAGTTTCTAAACATGCATGGAACATGCCTGGCCATATATCGCATGTCTCATTTTAATGTTAAGCCTCCATCCCCAGTCTTAATTTTTAGTGAAGGAAAGTTTCTCAAAAGGTCTCTTGGGAAGGGGTTTGGGGTACCATCTTGGATCCTTCTTGTGCAAACCTGTTTCTTAGCTGTGATCCTTGGGTCTCTTATCTTCTCTCCTTGCTGGGAGGCTTAGTTTGCTCTGGAATTTCTGCCCTTTCCCGATGAGTTCGGCCTATTTTGTTACGGGGAATGCATTTGGAGTATGAGAGAATACAAGAAAGTCAATAGAAGTTTAAGGATTAGCTAATAATGTGGTGGCACAATCCAGTGACAATGTTATATTATAAAATAACTTAGGAAGAGCCGACATCTTGATATGTTGAATCTTCCTTTTCAAAGGGTTTGGCTTTCTATAGTCTTCTTTTGTGTCCCTTACTTTTCTTCATATGAGTCATGTGCTTTTCTTCTTAAATGTATTCCAAGGTGTTTTATATTTTGATGTTACTGTAAATGGGAGTCATTTATTCCGTATTATCTCTTACCAAGTGTGTGGGGGAATTTTTTGTTTACATGCAAGTTATTGATTTCTAATATTAATTTTATAACCTCCTTCCCCCTGTAAATACTCTTCTTGTTTGTGGAAATTTTGCAGTTGATTCTCTTGCATTTCCAGGTATACAATCATATTATCTGCAAATAATAATTTTACCTCCCACTTTCCAGTGGTCTTTTCTCTAATTCCTTTCTCAAGTCTAACTGCAGTAGCCAATGCCTCCAGAACAGTGTAAATAATAGTGGTAGTAGTGGGAATCCTTGCTCTTTTGCTGACTTTACTGGAATGCTTCCATTAAGATGCAGATTTGGGACTTAAGTAGATATATTTTATCACCAATAAGCTTTTATTAAGAACAGATTATAGACCAGACTCTGTACCATACAATGGAGATTAAAAAAGAAAATGACTATGATTCTACCTGCCTTCAAAGAACTTAGGGGAAAAGACAAATAACAAAAATTATAGGTGTCACTGTAAGTTAAGTACAGGATACAATGGAGACAAAAATAAAACAGGTGAGAGCTTGTCAGCCTAAGCCTCGTGTCAAGATAAATTTCCAAAGAACAATGTACGCAAAGCATATTAGCTTAGTTTGCCATTGACATGTTTTCATTGAATTAATTATAGGATGACCTTGACTTTAGAGGCAATATATAGGGAAAGTCATTTAAAGAACCTTTGTTAGTTCAGTAAGGACACTGGTGAAGATACTTGTTGAATGCCTCCAACATACCAAACATTAAACGAAGGCTGGGCGTACACATAGGCATGGTCTCTACTCATACAGGTACTACAGTGTAACACAGAAATATGCATTAAAATAGGTAAATAAAATGCAATCAGCGATTGCCTGAACTACATGTATAAGGTACAACTGCTCATGGAAGAAATAGCAATTAATGTCGGCCCAAGGAAGTCAAG